GACAGAGAAATAAAAAGTTGTGATGAAATTACATACAATTAATCAAAATGCATTCTGCTATCATGTATAGCTAATTAAAATAAATTTTTTTAAAAAAAGGCCTACCAACAAAGAAAAGACTAGGATCAGATGGATTCTCAGCCAAGTTCTTACCAGATCTTCAAAGAAGAACTAATACCAATCCTCCTGAAATTATTCCATGAAACAGAAAAGGAGGGAACTCTTCTAAACTCATTTTATGAAGCTAGTATCACCCTGATATCAAAACCTGAAAAAACACATCAAGAAAATCTCAAACCAATATCCCTGATTAATACAGATGCAAAAATTAATAAAATACTGGCAAATCACATATAAGAACATAAAGCGTACAATATGATCGAGTGGGGTTCAAAAGAGAGTAAAAGATGATCAAGCGGGATTTATCCTCAGGATACAAGTCTGGTTCAACATAAAGGAATCAATAAACATAATTCATCATATCAATAAACTTGAAAGACAAGAATCACATGATTATCTCAATAGATGCAGAAAAAGCATTTGACACAATATAGCTAGCATGCATTCATGTTCAAAACACTAGAAAAACTAGGGATAGTAGTAACATACCTCAATATTGTAAAAGCTATGTATGTTAAAGGCCAACATCAATCTAAATGAAGAAAAATTCAAAGCATTCCCTCTACAAACTGGAATAAGACAAGGATGTCCTGTTTCACCACTTCTATTCAATGAAGTCCTTGACACTCTGGCAATTAGGCAGAAAAAAGAAATTAAAGGGATACAAATAGGAAAAGAAGAACTCAAACTATCCTTATTTGCTAATGACATTATTTTATACTTAGAAGATACAAAAAACTCCATCAAAAAACTTCTAAAACTCATAAACAAATTCAGCAAAATAGCAGGATATAAAATTAACACCCGGAGGGGAGGGAGACGGGGATAGGGAGGGCAGCAGAATACAACAGACACTAGTATTGCTGTATGTATATACGTGGCTGTATAACCAATGTGATCCTGCAATCTGTACACGGGAAAAATGAAAATTCATACCCCATTTGAATCAAATGTATGATATGTCAAGATCATTGTATTGTCTCGAGCAACTAATAAAAAATAAAAATTAAAAAAAAATTAACACCCATAAATCAACTGCATTCCTATACACCAATGATAAATCAACTGAAAAAGAAATTAGGAAAACTATCCAATTCACAATAGCCTCAAAGGAAAAAATATTTGGTAAGCAATCTTATAAAAAAGAGGTGAAAGACCTCTACAATGAAAACTACAGAACACTGAAGAAGCCTAAAGACCTTAGAAGATAGAAGATCCCCTGTATTCTTGGATAGGCAGAATTAATATTTTCAAAATGGCCATACTACCAAAAACACTCTACAGATTTAATGCAATTTCTATTAAAATTCCAATGATGTTCTTCATAGAAATAGAGAAAGCAGTCATGAAATTCATATGAAAAAATAAGAGACCCAGAATAGTGAAAGCAATCCACAGTTTAAAAAAAAGTAAAGCAGGAGAATCACAATACCAGACCTTAAATTATACTACAGTAATAAAAATGGCATGGTATTGGCACCAAAACAGACATGAAGACCAATGGTACAAAACAGAAGACACAGAGAAAAAGCCACATAAATACTATTAGCTCATATTAGACAAAGGTGCCATAAGCATATACTGGAGAAAAGATAGCCTATTCAATAAGTGGTGCTGGGAAAACTGGGAATCCATATGTAGCAAAATAACATTAACCCTTATCTCTCACCCTGCACAAAACTCAACTTAATGTGGATCAAGGACCTAGGCATTAGATCAGAAACCCTGCACCTACTGGAAGAAAATGTAGGCCCAATGCTCCATCCTGTCAGCTTAGGAATCAAATTCCTCAACAAGACTCCTAAAACACAAAAAATAAAATCAGGAATCAATAAATGGGATGGTATCAAACTAAAAATCTTCACAATAGAGGACAATCAAAAATATGAAGAGAGCCAACAGAATTTGGGACAAAATCTTTACTATCTACCTGCACCTCAAATAAAGCATTAATGTATAACACAAAAAACTTAACACCAAAATAGCAGATAACCCAATCAATAAATGGGCAAAGGAAATAAAGAGGCACTTCAAGAAGAAATACAATTAGTCAACAAATATGCGAAAAAATATTCAACATCTCTAACAATTAAATAAATGCAAATTAAAACTACACTGAGATTTCATCACATACCAGTCAGAATAAAAATTAAGAATACAAGTAACAATAAATGTTGGTGAGGATATGAGGGAAAAAGTTACACTTATATGCTACTGGTAGGACCATACATTGGTGCAAGCCTCTAGAAAGCAATATGAAGATTCCTCAGAAAACTTGGAATGGAACCACCATTTGATCCAGTTATCCTACTCCTTGGCATATACCCAAAGGACTTAAAATGAGCATACTACAGTGACGCAGCCACATCAATGTTAATAGCAGCTCAATTCACAATAGCTAAACCATAGGAATCAACCAAGGTGCCCTACAACAGATGAATGGATAAAGAAAATGTGGTATATATACACAATGGAATATTACTGCCATAGAGAAGAATGAAATTATGGCATTTTCCAGTAAATAGATGGAACTGGAGACTATCATGCTAAGTGAAATAAGCCAATCCCAAAAAACCAGAGGCCAAATGTTCTCTCTGATAGGCAGATGCTAACACACAATAAAGTGAAGAGGGAAGAACAGAAGTTCACTGGATTAGACAAAGGAGAATGAAAGGAAGTGAGGATGGGAAAAGGAAAGACAGTAGAATGAACCAGACATAACTTTCCTGTGTTCATATTGGTCATTCATTATGGCCAATGTAACTCCACATCACGTACAACCACAAGAATGGGAAGCTATAGTCCATGTAATGTATAATATGTCAAAATACACTCTACTGTCCTATGTATGTAAAAAGAATAAAATTTTTTAAAAAAGAAAAAAACTATGAATAAATAAGCAGGACCGCATTCTAATAAAACTTTGTTCACAAAATAAAATATTATTTATAAAATAAAATTGACCATACCATGTTGACCCCTGGTTTAGACTGATGTTGTTCAGACATATAATACAAGCCATATATTATTTAAAATTCTTAGTAGCCACATTTAAAAGTGAAAAGGATAGGTAAGTTTAGTTTTCATAATATTTTACATTTTAAATCAATGCAGCCAAAATATTAATATTTCAATATGTAGTACAGAGAACTGAGATGTTTTATTTTTTGTATTAGATTTTCTAAATCCAATATATATTTTACACAAAGCACATCTTAATCTGGACAACAAGTTTTCATCATAAATACCTGATCTAAATTTATACTTAATGAAATTTACAGTTGAAAAAAAATAGATTCATTCACTCAAGTGATTCCAAAGATAGCTATAAGTTTTATTAATTGGATAAAGCTGTTTTCAATTTTATTAATTAGAATTCAATAACATCAAAAAATTCCTTGCATTCACATTTCAAGTGCTCAACAGCTTCATGTGGCTAGTGCCTATCCTCCTGAACAGGGCAGGTCAACATATGAGGCTCAACTGACTGATCTTCCAACATGGAAGGACTGAAATAAGCTGTTTCTCTTCTTTCATTCTCTAACTCATGACCATATAGAATAATATCTAGCCCTATGAATGTTTTACCTCCATTTTCTTAGCCTCTTTGCCTGGATCCTGATCTCTTAATATCCAGGGGTAGCCAGATGATTTTCTAAATTTTATCCTTTGTACTAAATGTAAGCATGCACTGAAGTGCTAACATTTCTGACCCACCATAAACTATGGAACTATTCAGAATTCTCATTGTACCCTGATTTTATTAGTACATATTCTATATACATGTTGAAATATCACGATGTACCCTATACATATGTACAATTACATTTTAACTAAAAAAAAAAAAAAAAAATAGAAATAGCCAGGTGTGGTGGTTATGTGCCCGTAATACCAGCAACTCAGAAAATTGAGGCAGGAGGATGACAAATTCAACTCCAGCCTGGGCAACTTAGCAAGACCATGTCCAAAATAAAAAGGGCTGGGGATGTAACTCAGTGGCAAAGCACTTGCCTAGACTGTACTTGGTCCTGGGTTCAATCTCCAGATTCAGAGGGAGGGAGAGAGAGAGAGGGAGGGAGGGAGGGAGGGAGGGAGGGAGGGAGGGAGGGAGGGAGGGAGGGAGGAAGGAAGGAAGGGAGGAAGAAAGGAAGGAAGGAAGGAAGGAAGGAAGGAAGGAAGGAAGGAAGGAAGGAAGGAAGGAAGGAAGGAAGGAAGGAAGGAAGGAATCCTATTGTGGATACTTTATTCAATTATTATTTTGGACCACACTGTTCTATATATCTTTTTGAGAAACATAATCAAAATTTGCTTGTTCTAAACTGTTTGCTGAACTGCTACCCTTAATTAAGTCAGCAAAGTTAACCCTAAGGATATAAAATACCACTGGTTGTATTAACCATCAATCAATCACTGGCAGGCTTTCTTTTCTGTTCAACTTGGAAGCTTACCTTCTTATGTACCATGAACCTTAACTGCAGCTCAAAAAAGTTGAGTTCTGTAACCAACTTAGGATATAAACATACAAACTAATTTTAAAACAATTATTATTTATAAGTATATCCCTGAAATGCAACCAATTTGTGATTATCTATGAAAACAAGTGACAGGTGAAACAAAGATAATTATACATACGCCTCCTAAATGTCATTCTGAGTTTAAATACTTTATCCTGCAAACCCATAGATTCTTATCCTACTTTTCTACTTAGAAAAGTAACAATAAACAAAGTGACTACTAAGCTGTATAGTGAGAAACACAAACGCACACATATACTTAAATAAAAATATATTATTTAAATGAAAGAAAACTGCATACTCCTGATAATTTATCAAATCCCCAGAATTAAAGATTATCTTTAATAAGAGAAAAAAAATGCTTACATGTTTCCTTCCAGACTACTGAAGGAAAAATATGTTTCTCATGTCCTTTCTTTTTAGATCCACATTTTTTGCCTTCTAAAGGTCTGGAGTTACATCTATTTTCTGAATATGCTGTTTCTGAAGCTATGAATAATTAAAACAAAATTTGTTAGCATTTATAAAAATTACTTAATTGAGAAAAGGTGATCAGGGAAGAAGCATTAAAAATAATAAAACCTGAATCTTCATTTCTCAAAATGTCCCGCAGCAAAGAAGCACAACCATCAAGCCCCTGTATAGTTTCAGTCTGTAAGGAGAAAGTCATTTAAAATACATTTGTATATAAAATTATAGTGCAGAGAAAAAATATGTATTATGCAACCTTAAATAAAATTCTTTATAAGCAATTTATTATTGGTAGAAAACATGTTTTAAAGCAATAGCCTTCCTATTTCCTCAAGGCAATTTATACTTTACCTTTGTATTTTATTTCCATTTCTAGGCTTTTATCTGAAAGCTAAGTAAAATAATGTGTATTATAGCTGTTCGGTCTAATCTTACCTGACTTTCTGAATCAGAATGAGTGGGATAGCCAGAATTTGCATTAAAACGTGATATTTTTCTTAAATGAGTCCTAGAAAACAAGATTAACAGTGTTATAAATAATACAATTTTTCCCCCTCAAAATATGTTAGTAAGTAGTCATTTTCTTTCCACCACAGGTTGTAAAGAAAGCTTGCCTAACAATATATAACATGAATAGGACATTATGAAGACTGGAAAGACTGTTAAAACACTATAATGATTGACCTGGGTAGATTTGAAAAGTTATTCCCCAGAGGATGTAAAGGAAGAGGTGCATCTAGTTTTCTGGAATAGGGAAAATGTAATCCAGCCCAAAGCTCTGAAAACTTTCTTGAGATTTCCTGAAGTTATAAACTTCTTTCTGTACTTACCCTTTCTTTCCATTTGTTAATTTAGCAGATCCAGAGTTCCTTCCTGAAGATAACACCTATGACATAATGTATTATATTATAGTAGATATACAAATACTTTTCCATCGTATTTTCAATATGCTATCTTAACAAGACCTGAAATGTTATTCATATTTTTCCATTTTCCCAAGCTGAAACTCTGTACCTACCAAACAGTAAGTTCCCATCCTCTCTTCTCATCACCCCTTGAAACCATCATATTCTACTTTATATAAATTTGACTACTCTAGAGACCTTATATAAGTGAAATTATACAGTATAATGTCTCAAAGCTTCATCCATGTTGTATCATATATAAAAATTTTCCTTCCTTTATAAGGCTGAATATTCCATAGTATATGTGCAGTATTCATTCATTTTTTTAAATAAATGAGATATCCTAAAAGTCCACAATTATAATTTAACACTTTACAATAAATTTGCTACATAAAATGTGAAGCAAGCAACACATGTGTTTGTTCCTTATGCTTATTTAGGCTGAAAATTTAGATATCATTTCAAACCTACTACAATTAAGTTGGAACTATACTCATAATCCCTGAACATGTTCTACATTTCCCAAATTCTTTGAAACTTAATACTTCAAGATATAGGACAGAGTTCATAACTCTGGTTCCATTTATCCACATTACTTAGAAGGTCTAATAAGGACCAGCACATAAAAACTATCCTTCTTCTTTATCTACATCTCATTCTTTCAATCTTTCTTTTTAAACTAATATAGCAATGTTGGTTCTTCAAAAAGGTTTTATTTTTAAAGTAACATAGGTAGGCTACCTTTTATGTAGAACAAAAGGAAAAGCATGCATTTGCTTTTATATGTACCCAATAACTTCGAAGTTATGAAAGAAAACAGTTAAGTATAGTTACTTCCAGAGAGAGAAACAGGGTATCCGGGGGATACAGTAAAAGGGGAACTTTCTATGGCATACATTAATAAATACGTATCAGATAAATATAATCTTTCAAATATAATTTAAAGACATTAAAGTCCCTAATCCTCTCCCCCTTATTCCATCCTCTAGATAGAGGTAGTGCTGGCAGTTTCATTTGTGATTTGTCTTGACACGTTTACATATTTCATCCCAAGATAGCTCTGAGCAGTAACTACCAAACTTCCTGAAGTTGTATTCTATTATTTGCTTAAATATGTACTCCCCCTTCTAATGAGAATACCTTTTTTAAAAAAATGGGTTGATAATAGTTATACCTTTTGAGATAACTTGGAATACGATGGAGGGTCATAAACCGCACAGTGAAAAATCAACATCATAGAAAATACAATGCCATGTAACATAGCCCCACTGAATCCTGCATCACACTCAGGTCTTTCCCTTTGGTATATCTGTGTTGGTGTCCTGGCTGGAATAATGATACAAATCCAACCCATGATGCTGCTATGCCCCAGATCAATTCTGAAAACAATTACCACATTTACTGCCTTTCAAAATTAAGTGGAAAAAAATACACTGTCTGAAATAAATGTATGGCGTAATTAGATGATTATCTACAAAATATTTCTTAAAAAGAAAAACACTGACTAAAAAGAAAAATCTGGTAAAGAAAATTACCCCTAAGAAAAACACTCCAAAAGAGTATCTCTCATATTGAACATTTCCTCCCAATTCGTGGAGGTATTTTTTTTATTTTGAAATAGCACAAAGAAGTCCTATATATGCTTCAATCAGATTCCACAAATTCTGACATTTTACTACATTTGCCATATTCTCAATATGTATCTACAACATTATTTCTTGTCTGAACCATTTCAGAGTAACTGCAGACATAATATGTTTAAATATGCCAGGTGTGGTGACACACGCCTCTAATCCCAGCAGTTCAGGAGGCTAAGGCAAGAGGATCATTAGTTCAAAGCCAGTCTCGGCAATTTAGTGTGGCCTTAAGCAACTTAGTGAGACCCTGTCTCAAAATAAAATATACAAAGGGCTGTAGATGTGACTCAGTGATTAAGCACCCCTGGGTTCAATCCCTGGTACAAAATAATATACATAAATATATATAAGTATATATTTATGTGCATATAATACACACACACACACACATACACATATATGCCTAAATATAGGTCATTCTCTAATATAATTATCAAAACCAGGAAATTAACATTGATATAGTATTACAACCTGTGATCTTATTTGCATGTTGCCAATTATCCCAATACTGCCCTCTACAGAAAAAAAACCTGATCCATAGCTAATTCAGGATCATATTTTGCATTAAGCTGTCATAGCCATAGCCCTTAGGTCTCCTTTAATGTGGAATAGTTCCCTGGATAGCCATTCATTGTCCTTTATAACCCTGATATATTCAAAGAGTAGAGGCCAGTTAGTTTGTAGAATTTCCATCTAGAAGTTTAGATGTCTGTGATGTTTCCTCAGGATCAAACTAGGTTATGCATTTTGGGCAGGAATACTACAAAGTCATTTTGGGCAGAAATACTACAAAGTCAAATGTCATTTTCAATACAGTATGAGCAGACATGTGATGTCAGTTTGTCCTACCACTGGCTATGTAAACTGATTATTTAAAACAGTGTCTCGGGCTGGGGTTGTGGCTCAGTGGTAGAGCACTTGTCTAGCATATGTGAGGCACTGGGTTCAATCCTAAGCACCACATTAAAAAATAAACAAATAAAATAAAGGTATTGTGTCCATCTATAAAAATATTTTTTAAAACAACGTGTCTGCCAGGTTTTTCACTGTAAAGTTACTATTTTTACCTTTGCAATTATTAAGCATTTTGTGGGGAAATATCTAGACACTATGTAGATATCCAATCATCAAACTTCCACCCAATTTAGCATCCACTGAGGACTCTCGGTTCACTCAATTGTCAAATGGTGATTTCTAAAAATTTTTTATTTTTAATTTGTTCTTTTTAGTTATATATGACAGTAGAATGTATTTTGACATATTATACACACATGGAGTATAACTTCCCATTCTTGTGGTTGTACATGATGTGCCATTACACTGGTCATGAATTCATATATGAATTCATAACAAAGGAAAGTTATGTCCAATTCCAAATAGTGAGGTTTTGTTTTTGTTTTTCCTTTTGGTATCTGGGGAATGAATCCAGTGGCACATAACCATTGATCCACATCTCCAGTTCTCCTTTGTATTTTATTTAGAGACAGAGTCTCACTGAGTTACTTAGGGCCTTGCTAAGTTATTGAAGCTGGCTTTGAACTGGCAGTACTCCTGCCTCAATCTCCCCAGCCACTGGGATTACAGGTGTGTGCCACCATGCCCAGCCTTCCTAAATGGTTAGTTTTTTTAACATCATTCCTTCTACATTTATTAATTGTCATTTATTAGTTGAATTTCAACTAACAAATGTAGAACTAATTAGGGAAGAATTTTTCCTTGTTTCTTGTTCATTTGAATGTAGGCTCATGGATTCATATTTTATTCAGTGGGTTATGATCTATTATTATTAGTTATAATGGTCAAAATGCGCCAGATTTAGTAGTGGGAGCCTCTTCAAGTTGGTTCCTTCTTAATTTTAACAAGTCCCCATCATTTTTTGAATTATTCCTTACCTTTTTACAACCAAGCTCATCTCTTTTTTAGACTGTCTTAAGAATATTCAATATGAGATCTACCTTAACAAAATACAGTATTGGTAACTATAAGCACAATATTGGTTAGATCTCTAGAGCTTATTCATTTTACAAAACCAAAACTTTATACCTCCTGAATAGCAAGTCCCTCTTTCCCTCTTGCCCCAACCTCTGCAATCACCATTCTACTCTACTCCTGTATATTTGGCCTACACCCTGACTACTTTAGATACCTCATATGAGTGGAATCATGCAGTACTGAATCATTCAGTATTTGTCCTGGGCTAGCTTAGTTCACTTAGCAGAATGTCCTCAGGGTTCATCCTTGTTATTGCATATGGCAGGATTTCCTTCTTTTTCAGTGCTGAAAAAGATTTCACTGTATGTATATGCCATATTTCCTTTATCCATTCATCTATAGATAAACATGTAGATTGTTTCTACTTCTTGGTATTGTGAATAATGAATACCAGTGTAAATATCTATTTAAGATCCTGATTTCAATTAAGATAAATACCACGAAGTAGAATTGGCTAGACCTTATAAGAGTTCTATTTAAGTTCTTTTAAGGAAACATTCATACTTTTCTATAGCAGCTGTACCATATTTATTCCCAGCAATAGCTATCCATGTTCTAATTTCTCAACATCCTCACCAACACTTTGTTTTGTGTTCAGTATTTAGAAACCAAGCTTTAGGTACTAAATGTGCTCTTTGCTATCAGGGCCTCCAGTCTTTCTCCTATGCATTTTTTTACTGAGTCATGATGACTAGATACTTGTAATTTTTAATTTTTTTTTTTTTTAGCTTTTGAATCTTTTTCTATATTAACAGTCAAAAAAGTTAATGGTGGGCTGGGTTATGGCTCAGAGGTAAAGCGCTTGCCTAGCATGCGAGAGGCACTGGATTCGATCCTCAGCACCACATGAAAATAAAATATATTGTGTCCATCTGTAACTAAAAATAAGTTTTTTTAAAAAAGTTAATGGTGAGAGCTTCCAATCACTCCTGCAAGGTAGGCGGGCCTGCGACCCACTGGCAGAAGAGGAGCAGTGGCCTGCTGAGAGGCAGAGCCGCCCCCTCCCCCTGCGCCGGCAAGGTAGAGGGAACTGTGACCACCCACAGAGCAGGCCCAGCGGACTGCTGAGGGGCAGAGCCGCCCCCCACCCCCCGCGCCTGCCAAGTAGGCGGAAACTGTGACCACCGACAGAAAAGGCCCAGTGGCCCGCGGAGGGGCAGAGCTTCCAATCACTCCTGCAAGGTAGGCGGGCCTGCGACCCACCAGCAGAAGAGGAGCAGCGGCCTGCTGAGAGGCAGAGCAGCCCCCTCCCCCTGCGCCGGCAAGGTAGACAAGGTAGACGGAACTGTGACCACCCACAGAGCAGGCCCAGTGGCCTGCTGAGGGGCAGAGCCGCCCCCCACCCCCCGCGC